ATTTAAACGTCATAGTTATAAATAACTTTTAACCTGGAGGTTAAAATTTACTAAAATGTTACAGAATAGACCCCATTAAAAATAATAATTACAGCTTACAAAATGAAAAAGGGATCAAGCAGACTATGCTGAACATCTTAAGGGTTAGGTTCAAAAATATGGTTAGTGAGGACAAATGTTACTAAACCAACGTTTACTGAACACACTGTTATATTATAAACACAAAAAAATCACAAGTCAATTGAAAAACAAAGATGTACACAAAACTCGACTAGCATTTTTTACTTACTGAATCAATTTTTGTATAACATGAGTATGACAAAGCAAAAAATGTTGATTTTATAAAAATTCTTACCAATTTATATAGAAGATTCACGTATTTCATATTCTTGAAAGGTCTAGGGAAATAAACCTGTAAAGAAACGATAAAAAATTAAAATATATTTCAAGCTAAACAAGTAAAAAGTGTTTCTAAGTTATATCAGAGTACTTTTTCAAACCACGGAATAAATCTTAGGTGTCCTAAGTATAATTCATCATATAAACAAGTTTACGGTATTTTAGATTTTTAGTCTTAGAAATTTGATTTATTTTTGCAAAATTTAACAAATTGGACCTGATGGCTGGACCAGATGAAATGTATGGCAGTCTTAAGAAAGTTTCAACAAAAAAGTTAACTGTAATATTATTTGGATTGGTCAATCAATAATGTCAGAAATGCATTATGAAAAATGTTCACTCTTTGCATACCATTTCGCAGCTGTTTTTGAAAATTTCCAATTCTAGCTGACCAGATACATAGTTGTGATTGTACTTGTCTGTACAACTCCAGCATGTCCCCAAAGTTGAGACAACCAAGGACCTTTTGATGTCTTAACCTGAAAAGAAAAGCTATTATGAAACAGTTATCTGAAATGTTTGCATGTATTTTTCTTTTAAATTAAAATCAGTATCCTTTTGGCAAAAAAACATCGTAAAATGTATTGTCAGAAAGAACAAATTACTTCTCAAATAGAAATTTTCATCATGAATAATTATACTACTGTCCAAAAAAAACTAGGTTATCATAATACTTACGTTTTTATTTTTAGATAATTGCTTAGTAGCTGGACAATATTCTGGAAATAATAATAATAAAAAAAGATGATTAGTTTAAAGAGAGACAAAAAAAGAATGATTTTGTAAAAAAATATTTTAAAATATCATAATAATAACCTATCAGTCACAGTGTTCAGACTGGGGCGGTAATACCTATAATCATGTTAATTTATTGAAGGTTTGGACATATGAAATATAAGAACAAAAAATAATGGTTGCTAAAAAGTACTTGAGCAGATATAGCAGTCAGAAAAAAAAAAGAAGAAAAGAAAACAAAGAAGCAAAGGTGAATGCATGGCAGAGAAACGAGGAAATAAGATTGAAATACAGTGAAACTTATTAATATAATTCTTTATATGCTATATATAATAAGCGACACTCAAAAATGCTTATTTGGAAAGTAGAACTAGATAATAAAAAAGTTTTACAATTTCGGCGAGATTGCAATCTCTCTTTCACAAGCGGTAACCACTGTACTGAAATCTTTTCTTGACACTAGGAATATCTATTTAATTTAAATATAAAATAAAATGAGACTCACTTATTCAATTGCAATTCCTCAAATTTTTAATCTTGTAAACCAATGAATGCCTGGCATCAACCTATAAAAATAGAAATAGTTAACAACAGAGAAATACAATTAATATTTATTTTAAAATTATCTAGTTTCAGAATTACCTATCAGTCACAATTTTCAGACTGGGGCGGTAATAACAGTCATCATATTAATTTAATTATATTAAAAAAATTACAATTTACCAAAAACAACCACATACAGTATATGTGGTGATTAATTTTTTTTTAGTTATTCTTTTAATACGGTTTGAATGGTCTATTACTTAAGGTTTTACAATTTGACAATAAAAGATCAAATTATAGTAGGCAAGTAAATCGGGTCAGAATTAGCCAATATTATTTTAAGTATTTATGTTTTACCTTAATAAATAAGCCATTATGAACAGAATAGTATATTTTTCAGTTTCAAACTATGAATGTTATTTTAATTTTATAGTAATGTACTTTAAACATTTAAGTAATTATTTGGAAATTAAAAACTGAAAATACACACGATTCAATAAAAAAAAAAAAAACTTTTAAATAATTCCCAAAGGGACATTTAAACGACTTTAGAGAATTATTATATTAATTTCGAAAAGGCGATGGTAATTTTTTTAAAGACACCACAGATAGTTATGACTGCTAAAGTACCTTCAAACAATGTTGTCAAACTAGACTTTCTTATTTTCTCTGTAAATTTTATAGCCAATTACTCATCTACTAGACTATGGAAAAAACATTACTATTTTAATACAAAATTAGGTTTTTTTTTTATGTAACTGAAGATCTTCAGTTTGAACACATACAGATACTTGTGTGCATAAAATAGTAAGTAATAAAAATGTTTAGTGAAACAAATCATTGGTACTTTTAGTTATTATAAAAATCAGATATTTTAAAATGAAACTTACCAATTGAATTGTATTTCCTTAAATCTTTCATTTTGTAAACCGATCAAAACCTGAAATCAATAGAAATAGTTAATAACAGAAAAGTAACAAAAATAATCGTTTTAAAAATATGTTTATCAGAATCACCTATCAGTCACAACTTTCAGACTGGGGCGGTAATAACTATAATCATTTGAAAATAGAATTATATAGGGGATATTAACAAAGATTTTTTAATAGGAAGCCAAACCGGGGATGAATTAATTTTTAGAATACAATATCAAACACTACATAACTGAACCTACAAGAGTAACAAAAACTAGTCAAACTTGTATAGATATATTTTAAAATTATAGGGCACAGAGAATTAAAGTAGGGAACTCCTTTCTCTCAGACCATACTTATTAGGTGGTATAATTTGAAGGGTACTAAATTGGAGATCATTGTAATAAATTTGCTTATAAAAGGAAATATAGTGACAGAAATACTTGAACATTCTACAAAGTACCAACTAATAAGAAATACATTTTTACTGAAATAAGTCACTGATAAAAAATTTGCTTAATTTAAAATAAAAACTTACTTATTAACTTGTATTTCCTTAAATATTCATCTTGTAAACCAGTCAAAGAAATCATGCTAAAAAAAAAAATAGAAATAGTTAATAACAGAAAAGCAACAAAAATAATTGTTTTAAAAATATATAAGTGCTATCAGAATCACCTATCAGTCACAATATTCAGACTGGGGCGGTAACAACTATAATCATTTAAAATTATTGAAATATGATAAGATTCAGTAAAGCTAAACTTATTTTTGTTAACATTGGGTAGTAAATATTACGCCCTTTCAAATTTTTGAAGGTGTTTAGAACAATGCAATAAAAAGATCAAAGTACCATCTAACATTATTAATTTAATACAAACAGTATATTTTGTTAAGCAGTTGAAGATGCCCATTTTGTACACTTATTGCAAATTCAGAATCATTTAAATCTTTACACAATTTTCTAAATTAGTAAGCCATAAACATTTTTACTGAAACAAGTTATTATTAAAAACTTTTGGTTATTTTAAAATAACATTTACTTACTTATTGACTTGCATTTCCTTAAATCTTCAGTCATCTTGTAAACCAATTATAGACATCAAACTGAAAAATAAAAATGATAGTAATACAGTTGAAAAACAAACAAAAAAAAAACATATTTTAAAATTGTATACAGGGTTGGCAATGGCAAAAGATATTTTTTTTTAAACGAAAGAACTTAAAATTATTTTATTTTGAAAAGATATATAAGATTGATTTTCTTTGGCATACAACTCAAGTTGCCATAAAAAAAAAAAAAAATTAAGACAGAAGTCACATAATACAGAATATAATACAATTTTACAATTATAAATTCATTCATAAAAAACAGCTTGTTGCCAAAATTTTGATCTAGAACAGAAGTAAAAGTTGGAAATGCTTTTGCCAGTTCTCCCACTTTATACACATAAATTGACAGGTTGGCACCGGATCTCACCGAAGTGGACGCGATACATTGGCGTACAAAATTATTTTATAGATTTTAATAACAATTTCGAGTAAATAGTTTAATAAATTGTGAATAGCTGTTGAAATTTTGTAAAATTATAATACATGTTTAATAATTATTTATAATCCATAAATACATGCGATTGTCCGGTTCCGCCGATAACAATTTAAAATTACTTATTCTATGAGACGACACTGGCAGGTAAACATTACTGTGAAATTCTCGGAGCCGCCCGACGTGGTTTGACGTTTACTCCCTCTCTACCTACCAAAAGACTTTTCAACTTTTACTTTCTCTATACCTTGTATGTACTATCAGAATAAAACCTATCAGTCACGACATTCAGACTGGGGCGGTAATAACAATAATCATTTTAGTTAATTGAAATAAAAAACCAGGCTAAAAACCACAATACAAATTTTATTTTAAAATAAAAATGCACTCACTTTATTACTCAAATCCTAGATTATTTTCCAAGTTTTAGATCAACACCTGAAACAATAGAAATATTGCTTAGCACACACCTGTCAATTTCATTTGAGAAATAAATTAAAATTATACGTAAAATATTTTTGAAAAATTGTATCAGTAGAAATACCTATCAGTCACAAATATCAGACTGGGGCGGTAGTAACTGTCATCATTATATGATTCTAGATGGTAAATGAAAAAGTCTAGTGAAAATAAATAAATTTACTTACTGAAAAATATGAATCTTTGAAGCATTCCTTGAAATTACCTATGGAAGATCTTATGTACAGAGTATTTAATGTGTTTGAATTAACAAAAGTGTTTATAATTATTAATCTAATTAAACTGAACTTAAAATAAAATCTAGAATACTATACTATAATCCTTATCAACAATATTTAAGGGATTCTTTTAATTTGGTGGCAAAAAACAAAGAAAACCAAAAATTTCATAAAAAAAACTGAGTTTTATTTTATACATTATCCAAAAACAGTATACTTAACATTAATTAATCAGTACTTTAAAATTAAACTAGACAATTGCGATTTTCCAAAATTAAGGGGTTTAATAAGATTCCCTAAAAAACGATAAAAAAATAAATACGCATAATTTTAGTTTTTATCAAATTTACTATTGATGTCAATGGGTAATAAATATACAAATTATTCCGGAATATCAACAAAAAGAATATAAAATATAACAAATAAAAACTTTTGCAGATTATTTAACTTGTATTTGATCTTTCAACTAAAAAAACTTCCAGATAAAAAAATACAATTATAATTAACTATAAGTTGTTGAGTAAATTGTAATAATTTTATTAAATAATCTGTACATAAATTAGATTTCTTGGATGTTTATAATTTATCCAGATATTGCATGAGGTCTGGAAGTCCTTCTTTAAGACCCTTCCTCTTACGTGTATCCTACAATAATAAAGAAAACAGTCAAACATACTTCATTTTAATTCTTAGATTATTGTATTATTTATATTAGCTTTTTTATCATTTTTTTTTTATGATTGTTCAGTTAAACTACTTTATTGCAACTAGTAATTTTCTAAAGGGTTCCATACGGTATTTTTTTCTACGGACACAAAAATAAAGTGAAATCAAACATTCGGTAGACAGTAAGTAGTTCTCATTATTTAAGTTCTGCAGGACCAATATGAGAAAATAAAGGCTTAGAAATGTTTATTGTCATTGTAGATGTCATTAGGTAACTTCTAGTTGCTACAGTTAGAGCAAACAGCAGGTCTTAAAAAGAAGGACAACTGAGATATATTCAAGACAAAAGTATGTTGGATACAAATCTAAAAAAATAATATTAAGAAAAAATTATACTGAAATATTCTTTACAGAAACAGACATACCCTGAAGTGTATGTATAAGGGCAATTGTTTTTATAGATGTTTTCGTTACTTTAGTAGTTCCGTTGTATTCTCAAAAAAAAAAAACACAGTCCATGAAAGTTAATTAATACAAAATAAAATGAAATAAAAAAGAAGCTATTCAAAACTTTCGACATTGGCATAATGCAGTAATTAGGGAACCTTTGAAAATAAGTTATCAATAGGTGATCATAGAAAAAAATACATGTTGACATTGCAACAAATAGTAAAAAACTGATCCAAATGAAGTATCAATAAAATTTGGTTTTAAAACAAAATACACCTACCTGTACAATACCATATGGTCTAGTTCCAGCTTCCATTGGGTTACCAGGCAAGATCTGCCAATGGTCAAAGACTGATTGAGGGAAGGCTTGTCCTCCAGTGTTGGAACGTAAATCGGCAGTGAAACCGAAAGATTCGTTTACAGGTAGGTAAGCTTTGACTATGAACATTGGAGTACCGGCGACTTGGGCCTCTTCAAATACGTGTCCTCTTCTTCTGTTAAGTACACCATAGATACCACCAACAGCAACTTCAGGACACTAAACACAAAAAAAACTCTTAACTAAATAGATTTTCATTATTTAAATTAAATCATGATGAAAGGAAACATGAAGCCGTTAGCAATACGAAATTCGGTCACAGTCTTGTGAAAAACACATTCAAAAAAATTGTTATGGCTATGTTCTGTATGTCAAAAAGCGCCTATTTTTATTGATAGCCTTGTTAATATTGTGGGACTATATTGACAAGGCAGACCACGATAAAGAGAACCAAATTTTGAATTAACCAATCAAAATATTTCAGTATATAAATAGGAAAACTATTTTTAATGACATTTTCTAGAATACGTTGAAAAGTTTGGTAGAGTTCTTCAACATCTAACTGCAATTGAATCAGTGAGTTCGAAAACCGTACATGTCCAAAATCAGCCTTTAGAGTAAAACAATAAAAACCTTTTAACGAGTCACGAATATGTACGGTTTTTCGCCTAATTTCACTGGTCTAATCAGCTGTACTAAGTTACCAGATAAGTATCTAGTACAGTTTTAAAATCAATCACTTAAACAAAATGGCTCTCTTACTTTAAAATGTCAAATTTTGGACTTGAAGGGTTTTCGAGCTCACCGATTCAATTCCAAATGTACACGGTCCAACTTATTCATAAACAAAATGGGTTTAATACCTTCGGCAAAAGCTTCTACATATACCCCTGATTAGAAATGGAAAGCAATTACAATGTCAATTTTTTGATGTTGTATATATGTAAACTAATTCAAATTAATTATTGTATCCTCAACTTTCGGCACAGACAAAATTATAAAAATCACTTTGCCTGTTTCCTAGCGGGAAAATGATCTGCTCCCCTTTTTATATTTCTGGCACTCTAAACAGATATATGATTCTGAATGAGCGTGGCGTAGGAGCACCAATTATAAATGTATTAAATTGCACTGAATGTTACTTTTAAATTGTGGCATGTTTAGGCAACCCAAATTGTTTTAAACATTTTTATATTTTTGGTAAGTCTTAATAACTTTTAATCGACAGTTCTTTTAATAATCAAGGGTAATATAAAAGCCGGATCTCACTGTAGTTCAGGTCACGTTCGATGCAATATTGTGACGTACTATTTAAATCATGCTCATGATCTTTGACCGCGGTATTTCTCCTTTGCAGATATTTTAAACGAACCATGAGGAGACCTTTACCTCAGTCAGTTTGTACAAACAACAATCAGACTAGCCACAACTTCTCTCTTCTCTAGCGGTGAAATTGCCTCCAGAAATGTAGTATTTTCCTTAATCAAATTTGCTGAAATTTCATCCAAAATGTATCTTTTGTCATACGAAAATATTTGATCGTCTACAAGGCCTTTATATAGAGGGAAAAATTCTTCGATTTTTCATTTTCTTAAAATATCATGTACACATATCTTCCGATGTTGTTGTGTTGTTGTTCTTTATCATATAAACATATTGTAATTGCAGCTAACTCAATTGTAAATAAATTGTTCATATTACAACAGGCATGTGATGATCCTCTTCATAAAATTGACTAAAAATATTTAAATGAGCGTCAGTAATATGTGAATACTACCTCAAATCCTCGATTGTGAGTGTGACCTGAGCGCCTAGTGAGAATCGGCCTTAACTAGACCTTGACAAATAGTCAACTATTTTTATTGTATCTAAATTTTTAGCGTTTTTGATATCAATTTGTCGAGATATAATTTTGTCATTAATATTATGTGTCAACTTTTCAAACAAGTCTGTGAACTTTTCTAAGCAACCCATCACTAATTTTGTCTTATAATTATTATAAAAAAGAAAATAAAAAGTAACCTTATTTAGAGAATCATTTTAAAATATAAACAAAGCAGTCGTTTCGAAGCTGATATCACAAAACCAGCACACAGCCTTACATGTATCCTTTTACACTACAAATGAAATTCATTTAATGAAAAATATTTTAATTCTAAAATATCACTTACCATAATTTCACACTTGTAGATGGGTTCCATAAGTCTGGGAGATGCAGTCAACAAACAAGCGTACAGACACCTACGGGTTGTTGGGATGATTTGACCACCACCTCTGTGAATGGCATCAGCATGGAGAGTAACATCATAAATGTTGAATCTAACACCACGTAAGTTCTCTTCAGAGAGTACACCTTCCTTGGTGGCCCATTGGAAACCAGCAACAACGGAATCTTTGATTTCATTAAGATATTGCACTCCTTTTGTACAATCGACAAGGATGTTTGGTCCTGTACCGTCGGGTCCAAAGCACCAGATCTTACGGGCTTCAGTGATATCATAGTCGTATTTTTCAGTAAGGTAACGAGCACGGACTTTGAAATCGTCACGTGGGTTGACCTTTCCTTCATCGATATCTTCAGCCAAACCATCAGGCATTGGCTGGGCTCTCATGAATAATCTGTAAGAGACGACCAAAATAATTAGCTCAACATTTCGAGGATTTTCTTAATATTTTATAATTTTTATTTTAGAATTTTGTATGTCTTCCTATTCTAGCCAAAAAGAAGATTTACTTTAAGACTTAAACTAAAAGACAAATCTTATTTTCCACACTTTGCGAATACTAAATAACGTAAAGGTTACTTAATATTGTCTAAAGGTGGTGTGAAGGGTAACATTTAAATAAAAAAGAGTAAAAATGTTAACATTCTAACAGGTTTGCCCCATTTTAGTGACATATTGTTATAATTTCTCCACCACAAGTTCCATGCTCCTTTAACTTGACTGCAGGCTGCACCATGATGATAAAGAGCAATTGCCAGAAACATTAGCCATCTACTACTTGTCTACTCTTTCATTTAAAATGCCCACTGCATTATATTTAAAGTAATAATGTGAATAATACCAGAGGATATTTAAAAATATTTACCTGTTGTGTTTGTTTGGTGATTTGGAGAGGCACGTTTGGTCAGATTCTTCACTGACTGTTTCACGGTAGGATACAACAGGGTCCGATTTCTTAATAGGAATGCATGCGTGGTCTTCCTCAAGATCTTTAAGGCAAATTTCAAGATGGAGTTCTCCGGCACCGGCAATAATGTGTTCACCTGATTCTTCAATGATACATTGTACCATAGGATCTGATTTGGTTAAACGTTTCAAACCTACAAAAAAATATCATAAATATAAGTTTCAAAATAATTCATGTAGAAGTGAAAAAAAAAAAGAGTTGTTTAATTTGCACCGTAGCTTATCACAATTGGACATAAGGATAGAGGTCCTGTAATAGCGTTTAAATGAAAATTAATTTATCTTCTTCCATTGCACTGCCAACAAAGTCAAAATTTGCAGATAGTAACCTAAGTTACTATCTAACAAGCTGTTTAGTGGCTCTAAATGTGCTGGAAGGTAAATCACTTATGTTGACATTTTCAAAATGGTATTTATTGAATTAATTAATTACCTTCTACAAGTTTTGGCAAATCAGCAGGGTTCTTGGGTTCAACAGCAACACGTACAACAGGAGACACACTGAACTTCATGACCTTTAAATTGTGAGCATCTTTGAAAGTGGAGATGGTACCAGTCTTGACCAAGAACTGGTCAACACCGACCAAACCACAGATGTTACCGGATGGTACATCTTCGATGGCTTCAACATAACGTCCCATCATAAGGATGGTACGTTGGATGGCTTTTTCATACAAATCTTCTTTTTTGCCTGGTGTGTAGTTGGGACCCATGATACGGGCCTTCATACCTGTAGCGACTTTACCGGAGAAGACACGACCAAAGGCGTAGAAACGACCTTTGTCGGAGGTGGGTACCATCTTGGAGATGTACATCATTAAGGGAGCAGTGGCGTCACAGTTCTTGATTCCTATTCAAAACAAAGTAAATGATAAAAATTTTGTAAACAGGTGTACCAACATTGCATTTAATTTTTACAAATAATCTAAAATTTTAGTTGATTTTGGTGTTGGCAGAAGGGTATAGAAGGACAGGTAAAAATTGTATATGTAGATGACGTATTAGTTGTACTATTATGATAAAAGCTAAGAAACTATATATTCTGGTGTACATTTCTTTAAAGAATAAGCCAATAGAACAAAAATGAGTTATTCCTATCTTGAACAAAAATAAGACATTCTCTAAGCCATGTGTCACATATTTTGATACTTGGCTCAGATAATTTCTTATTTTCATTATTTTAAGTTTTGGTCATATTTGAGTTTGGAATTATTTCCTTTTAAATAAGCTATGATTTTAGCTAAGGATTTGAAATGAATTATTGGAACAAGTAATAAAAGACTACGAATCAAATTCAGCATTGATGAAAATATTGAATAGAAAAGAATGGTCTATAACACGCAAGTGACACAGCCAATTACTGATGTATTAGAAAGCAAATATCAACAGAACTGAAATATTTAAATAGGAACAAAAACTAAAAATAAGCAATTAATAGAAATAATGAGAGAAAATGCAATGCAACTGATATACTGAAACTGTTAAGGCTCCAATGAAGGAGTTTGAAACAGCAAATAATGGCAGCTAAAGATAGTAATAAATGCCAGAAGACATCAATTCTTTAATCCGTTATAGAAGAAATGAGATAAATATTTGCAGAGTAATAGAACATAAAAATTGCAACAAAAAGAAAAACAGAACGTTTGTATATATTAAAGTAAAATGCAAGTTATTATTCCGAAAAGAACTATCAGTTCAATTTTCCTTTTAATATACGCAAGAAAATTATAAATTTCATTGTATCCTCAACTTTCGGCACAAACAAAATTACAAAAATCACTTTGTCTGTTTCCTAGCGGGAAAATTATCTGCTCCCCTTTTTATATTTCTGGCACTCCAACAGATATATGAATCTGAATGAGCGTGGCGTAGGAGCACTTCATTTTGAAATACTGTATGCTAAGAAATTCACAAAATGAAAAAATATATATTACATACCTAATGCTGCTTCATCATCCAATGGACCTTCGTACAACATTTCCATTCTGTATTTTTGGGCAACTACTGGAGATGGGAGATGGATGGCAATCATTTGAAGTAATGCTTCACCAGCAGGCAACCAAGTTCTCATTATGACTTTCAATAATTGTTTACCGTCCTTGTCTTTGTCTTCATGTTTCAAAATAATACCTAATTTAGGTAAAAGTGCTTCATACTCTTCTTTCCTTTATAAAATTGATATTTGTTTTAATACAATACAAGTGAGACACAAGATGAGAACATCTTTGTAAAATATAAATTTTTCAAGGGTTTAAAAAAATTATTTTTAATTATGGAGCATCAAAAAGTGCCCCTAACCAAAATTTGCTCTAATTTAAAATAAATTAGTAAACAAATTTGTGCCAGGGTATACTTTTTGATGCACTTTAAATTTCAGATATAATTTTAAAGGGACCCCTAAGGGCGATACATTTTTATCCATGCTCTTTTGATAGTTTTTAACCTATTTATTTATGACTTTCTTTACAAAATGCTTATTTTGACTACAATGAAAAAAGAGAATTGGATATGGAACCAAATTGAACAAGACAAAGTAATAAACCCCATTTTAAGAATGGGAAGATGTCACGTTATTAGAGCAGGAGGTATACTCATTATTGTGAGTACAAAAAACTTTGGCATAAACTGATTGCTCTATTCCCACATATAAATTTAATATGATTATACTTTAATAATTTTCGACACTTTTACCAACTGATTATTTATAGTATAACTAATACAATGTCTAAAACTGCATATTTTACCTTTGAACATGACCCATTCAAATATGACATTATCTTAGACAACAGAAACAAAATATAGATATAATACGCTAGTTCAGTGAAGATGTAATTATGGTTCCACTGACAATTAAAGTGACAGTAGATTTTTTGAGTGCGTTTTGTTCGTTTTGTTTACCCAAATTATATCGTTTTTTCACTTTTATAAATATATTCCTAAAGTAAGTAGATAACATGCATCAAATCGTTTAGTTATACCTTTAAACTATTTTTTATGAGCTGTAAACAATATTTAGAAATAAACTAAAAACAGTAAAAAAGTATGTCAAATTTATTGATGTTTTTGTTAAGTTTGGTTAGAATTAAATGTCAGTGGAACCAAAATGACATCATACTGAACTAGCCTATATCCCATAATTATATTTTTCTTATTCCACTTTTATCAAACAAAATTTTGATTCTATCCATGGATAAAATGAATCATCCTAGATTTAAAATGTAATCGTTTATGCAACCCACTGTTAAAGTTCAATAAAATGAGGTTAAATTTCGTTTTTTAAATACACTTATTTTGCAAGAAAACATACACAATTAATCACCAAACTTTAAAGACAATTTTTTTAAATGTAGATGTATGCACTAATTTTGCTGCTGGCATAAGGTAGACAATTTTGGAAAGCCATTAAAATAAATACATTTTACACACTGTTTAATTGAAAAATTTAAAATATAAACATTGTCTTCATGATTCATATTAAATTAAAAAAAAAAAAAAAAAATGTTTCCTCAACTTTCGGCACAGGTAAAATTATAAATTCACTTTATCTGTTTCCTAGCAGGATAACTATTATAATATGCCCCATTAGAAATATTTCTGGCACTCTAAACAGGTTATATAAACCCGAATGAGCGTGGCGTAGGGGACTGAGAATTTATTAAATCGACTGACATAATAAAAAAACTAGATAAATATGTACCATCCCGTTACTTAATAATTATAACATATTAGTCTTACTTGTAGTTCATGACGGAATTGAAGATCTTATAAATGGGATCAAGAATGTACATGCAGAAGGAACGTTTATTGTCATCATCCTTTTGTTTGGCCCATTTCTTAGTTTTGGCGTTAAAGAAGCTCTCACCCCACAATCTGTTCATTAGCTTGACTACGTCGATCTTGAATTTCTCTGCATACATCTCAGCAAATTGTTTGAGTGTGAAAGCCCAACCGTGAAGTCCAGAACCAAAACCAACTGAACCTTTGCTTGGGTCAACCTAACAAAAAATACAAATTTTATACTTGTTTACCTACTTATTTTGCATGTATCAAAAATTTAAAATGGTTTTATAATGCAAATATGTTTCACTGTAGGAAACTGCAGTAAATATTAAATCATTTACAGCAGGGCAAAATATGATATTTTATCTATGAGTCAAATACAAATTTTAGCAATTGAATTTACTAATCTACTAGAATTGACTCAATTACAATTAAATTTTGTTTTAATACATTTGAGTAGGTACTATATGAACACAAAAGTGTAAGTGCATTTGAAAGTTCCCTGTATGGAGAATGAGTGAATATTTTATCAAGGGGTTACTTACTCTGACTTCGCCCATTGGTCCTGAATCATCATTGTAGGTGGCGATAATTACGTTGACATTTTCTACAATACGTTGGAAAGTTTGGTAGAGTTCTTCAGCATCTAATTGCAATTCCAAGAGTGCACGGTCCATCTTGTTCATGAACAAAATGGGCTTAATACGTTCAGCAATAGCTTGACGGAGTACAGTTTCCGTTTGTACACACACACCTATTTAGAAAAGGAAAGCAATTATAATGACAATTTTCTAAAGTTGTAAATATGTGTACTCTAATTCAAATTTATTGTATCCTCAACTTTCGGCACAAACAAAATTAGAAAAAACACTTTGCCTGTTTCCTAGCGGGAAAATTATCTGCTCCCCTTTTTATATTTCTGGTACTCTAAACGAATATATGATTCTAAATGAGCGTGGCGTAGGAGCATTAATATATAAACAAAATGTACAATTATTTATAAGAAAAACTTACCAGAAACACAATCTACTACTACTAGAGCACCATCTGTGACACGAAGGGCAGCTGTTACTTCTGAAGAGAAATCTACGTGACCAGGAGAGTCAATTAAGTTGATTAAGAAACCTTTTTCATCTTTTTCACGTTGGTCTGGGTTGGTGATGAAGACAAGATCTTTGTCTTCCAACTCGAAGTACATAGATATGGCACTAAAAAAGATATTTATTATGTAGAAATGTAAAGTGTTAAAAGTTTTGCTAACAAATAAATTTTACTTATTTTTAATATTTGAAATTTAAAGAATTCATATAATTTATTTTTAATGGTTTACCCAAACAGACAATTCTTCAATGAAAATACCTATGCAGGGAGGGTGTTAGTACATTCGACCAATAACGCTGTAACTCCAGCTCCAGGGAGCTCTCATTAATACATGAATTTTTATATAGGACTTAGTTACTGAGATAGTGTTAAAAATTCGAGTTCAAAATTTGCCATAAATCAAAAAGGTCTTGGCGCGCTATCAGGGTTAGTGACAACTTTTTAGATTTAATACCCTGTACCTTGGCAACTAAGGCCTTTAAGGGCTCTAGTTATTATTTTGTGTACTACTGAGCATTACTTATATAGCTGCAGGTTTGGATATGCCAAGAATGGTGGAAATTATCAATTTTTTAAAGTTGTAAACATGTAACCTAATTCAAATTAATTGTATCCTCAACTTTCGGCACAGACACAATTACAAATATCACTTTTGTCCGTTTCCTAGCGGGAAAATTATCTGCTCCCCTTTTTTATATTTCTGGCACTCTAAACAGATACATGATTCTAAATGAGCGTGGCGTAGGAGCACAAATTATTAAATGCCAATTTTTGTTAAAATGTAGATTCATGCCTATTTAGAAAACTGCACTTAGAAGTTTATTACTTTACATTGATTTTTAACAAGTACCCCTTAATTTAAGCAATTTTATAAGAGGTATTTATGGAATTTTAAAAGTGAATTAACTGTTTAATGAGAAATTATTTAAACTTATGAAAGGGGTAATAGAAAACCTATTTTTACTTGATCTTTATTATGAGTAAAATTTTACATAAAATTTAATACTTATACTTATCGTTTCTGCACAAGAATAACTCATTTTAATGTATATTTAATCTCAATAACTAATAAATATACTAACAATTAGTTTGACAGAATTGTAACATTTAAAATTTTAAAAATAAAGAGTAGTTGTGTGACCAAAATATGAACTGTGATGGGTGGATTTCATTTTTACTTTCCTATCTGTATACAGATATAAGGAAAGTATAGGAATCATAATTTTTTTCGACCTCGAGTTTTCGACGGATTTTTACGTTTTGAGGTCCCCTGAATCCGTTTTGACTATTTTCGCGATGATGTCTGTGTGTGTGTCTGTAGGTCGCATAACTCATGAACCGATACACAGAAAAACACCAAATTTTAAACTTAAGCTTTATTCCAGCGTCTAATGAACTGATTAGATTTTGGGCAGAGTCGGAACATCTGGGGGGTACTTTATAGGTAGTCATTTTTATATATTATGAAATATATCTGTTATTTACGTTTGGAGAAGAAAATTCTTCAAATAAAAGTTACTTCTAATATAATTATCTATAATTTTTGTTCTATACAAAATTTTCCTAAAATGGTCCGTATTCGAGAAATTTGACAAAATGTAAAAAAAATATTTTTTTATAAAAATTGTTCAAACAAAAGTTGTTTGTAATATAATTCTCTATAATTTTTATTCTATACATAATTTCTCTAAAATGGACCGTATTCGAGATATTTGAGAAAATGTGTAAATTTCGAATTTTGAAGAAAACTCAAAAAGGGATAAAGAAAAAAACATTAAATTTTAAACTTAAGGTTTATTTCGGCCTGACGTGAAATGATTAGATTTTGGACAAAGTCGGGACATCTAGGGGGTACTTTATGGGAGACTGTTTTTATATTTTATTGAATATATCTGTTATTTATGTTTGGAGGAGAAAATTGTTAAAATAAAAGTTAGTTCTAATATTATTATCTATAATTTTTGTTTTATGTCAAAATTTCCTGAAAGGTCCGTATTCGAGAAATTTGACAAAATGTGCAAAATTTTGATTTTTATGAAAATTGTTGAGCTAAAAGTTGTTTGCGATATCGATCTCTATAATTTTTGTTTATACATGATTTTTCTAAAATGGACCGTAATGGAAAAGTGCTAAATTTAAATTTTTCAGTATTTTCGTTTTCAATGAATATCTATAGAAAAATGTTTCGAGGTAGATGTATGTGGACAATGTATATATTTAGTTTATCATCTAAACATTTATAGAGATGCTGCAATAGGTTGTACAAAATAACCGGAAAAGGACTATAATAACTAGATAGGAAAGTCATGTGTTGGACACATCAGATTTTTTTTGCAGTGTTCTCAGTCCTAGAATGGATATGAAATATGTTCGTTCAATTAAAGGCAATAGCATACTTTTTCGTTTTGTAATCTGATAGATAAGCTTATATATAAATTTTAAAATTTGCTTCATTACGTGTTGATTTATTAATGTTTAAAAATAACAAAATCTCACAAAATAGGAAAGCAACTAAATTAATAGTGACCTTCTAATGGCAAAAAGTCTTACTTCACGTCTGAACCAAAACCGAAATCATGCAGGGCCGAATTTTAATTATAAGGATGAGTGTGCTACGTTAATTTCCGTTATTCTGAAACAAAAATTAGTCGAGAATTAATGAAACAAATTTCAAATTTTTTTACATGGTTGAATAGAGAATAAACTCTTTCAAATGAGCTATCACTCACCACCTCATGCCATTTAAATTTTTCGAAAGGGTTGCTCCCCTCGAGTAAGGGATGAAATTAAGGGTAAACTAATCATACAAAAATGTACATTGTAGAAAACAAAAATCGACCTGTCTCGGCGATTTTCCTAACATGACTCCAGTAACGAGTTAGTTAGGGGGGGGGTAAGACTTAAGATTCTCACTGTATATAAAATTGTTTGTCCTGACTGACTGACCTATCAGCGTACAGCCAAAACTACTGAGCCTAGAAAGCTGAAATTTGGAACATAGGTTTATTTTATAACGTAAGCATCCGCTAAAAAAGGATTTTTTGGAAATTTTAACTTTAAAGAGGGGAAATGGGAGGAAATGGGGGAGGGAGCTTTTAATGAAACTCTTTGTTCTTTAAAGTTAGAAACATGAAAATTTAAATTACAGCTACTTAGCATAAATAAATAATGACGTGTTTAAGGGTTTTGGATTTTTTACATTTTAAGGGGGGGGGGGGGGGGAACAGTTTGTAAGGGACTATCGATTTTTTTGTTCTCTCTGAAGTTAGAAACATGAAAATTGGAATTGCAGCTACTGACTACAAATTATTAATGACCTGTTTCAGGGTTTTTGGATTTTCACGTTTTAAGGGGGGAAATGGGGGGCGAAAATGTATTTGGGGGTATACATGTTTTTGGTTCTCTTTAAAGTTAAAAACATAAAAATTGGAATTACAGCTACTGAGTACAAATTAATAATAATGTTTTTTAGGGTTTTTATATTTTTACAACATGAGGGGGGCAAACGGGGGTAAAAGTTTGTATGGAGTATAACTTTTTTGTTCTCTTTGAAGTTAGAAACATGAAAATTGGAATTGCAGCTAATGAGTACAAATTAATAATGACGAGTTTTAGGGTTTTTGGATTTTCACATTTTAAGGGGGGAAACGGGGGGTGAAGTGTTTCATGGTTTTTGGATTTTTACATTTTAAGGGGGGGAAACGGGGTAAAAATTAAATGAATAAAAATTATTAAAAATGAATAAAAATCAATAAAAATTAATAAAAGTGAATAAAATTTAATAAAAATTAATAAACGTGAATAAAAAAAAAAAGAATAAATATAAAAAAAAAAATATCAATAAAACTAATGAAAATTAATAAAAAAGGAAGTCATGTATTTTTTTATATTAATAACACGACTATATGCGAGCAAAGCCGCGGGCAATAGCTAGTGTCTCAATACGCCCTTGAATCATTTTTAGTAAATAGGGGAGTATTAGTTTAGTTATGCCAGGACCATAAAGATGTTATCGAAAGTGACATTATAAAGATAGTCAATGATGCCCAGGTTGCATTAAATGTCACTGACCTAATTGCTCGTCTGGATCCAATAGCCATGCTCTTGATAGTTCAAAGAGACTATACAACTATATCTGTGTGTGTAGATGTGTGGTGTGGCATAATTAGATTTCTCAGGACAGCCACTTTTAATAAAAAAAAAAAAAAAAAAAAAAAAAAAAAAAAAAAAAAAAAAAAATACATTATCTAGCAAACATTACTGATCGCCGATTTTTGGGACGGCATTTAACAGCTACTCAAAAATTTCTTTTGTTCCATTTGTAATGTCTTATATCGGGATTGAAAGGACCTTTTCTTCTTTCGGTTTGGTTCGATCAGATTTACGGAATCGCTTAGGAAATCAAAAGCCAGTAGACTAGTTTTTATGTTTAAGTGTATGAATCAAAATATAAATAAAAAGAAAACCAACCTTGACTGGGCATGGGAACCAGCTATATCTGAAGTTGTCACTAATTAACAAAATAATGTTAAAATCTATACACTTGTTTGTAATGAATTTTTTCTTTGCAGTTTATTACACTTTTCTTTATGTAATTTCTTCGAGTGACCTCTCAAGGTTATTGATGTGCTGACCTGGAACATGTTATCATAGGTATAATATCCACTAGTCCACTTGTCAAGTCTCCTCTAGTTCTTCTATCCATTAAACTTGAAAGATTGGCTAGCCGATTACAATACTCATTGTTTTGTAGGGTTGGTGGTATTTTGGTCTCTTCTTTAGACTCTTTCCAGCAGTTTCATGTCTTTATCAAAGTATGGATCCCAAACAATCTGTGCAAATTCTATCTTTGGTCTTATGTACAGTTTCAGAATCATATCTTCGCAATGGCATTTAAAAGATCTTTTGATTAGGTAAATGAGATTGTTGACTTTCTTCACTTCCATTTTACATCTCTAAATGATTAATGCTCAAATGGATTCACAGCTTCCTTAGGTCGGTGGTGTAGCAGTCTAACGTGCTTATATTCTTTTATAGGCAAGTTTATGGTCAGAGACTGACGGGCTTTGGATCCCAGACCAGACCATGTGGATTTTTAATTAAATTGCATGGTTCGGTATAGGATTTGATGTGTGCCGTATTAATAGAAATTCAATTTCTGTTGATATGACATGAAGAAAATCGCCATGCAATACCGTCTCAATGATGGTGGGTGAGATTTTCCTCACCTGTAAGTTAAATGGCACCATCAATCATCTTTAAGTCGCCCCGGAGCGCCACGGCAAATAATAATAATAATAATAGCCGTCCCTTTCCCTGCACAAGCTCAGCTTTTGGGGTTAAAATTAACTCGTAAGGGGGAAAATTAGGGAGATTATTATTATTATATTACCCAAAGGTGTCAATTTGTTAAATACTGGAACTGCATTTCAACGTGTATTAGTAACCTCAGGCATTCCTCAAGGTTCTTACCTAGGCTCAATACTCTTTAATTGGTTTATTAATGATTTAATTGAAGTAATTCAAAATAGTCAGTTTTGGATATTTGCGGACGATCTTAAAATATTCAGAATTATTAAGAGTATATTCAATGCTTTGCTTTTACAAATCCATATTAATAATCTTGCTAGATGGTGTGACATAAATATGTTACATTTAAATGTAAAAAAATGCTGCAAAATAACTCACTAAAACCAAGGATGCAACAGATTTTTAATATACCATTAATAATACTTTGTTGAATGAAGTTAATAACCTTAAAGATTAGGAGCAATATTTGACAATAAATTAACATTTAAAAACTTTATTAATGAAATTGTATCATAGGTCTTAAAAACTCTTAGTTTTATAATAAGAAATAGCAATTATTTCAATATATTTACATATTGGTTTCCTTATTATACTACTGATAGTCAATTGAAAAAGTACAAAACACATTTTTAAGAGTTAGTGCCTATAAAATGGGATTGGTTAGAGGTGAATATAGACAGGATGATGTACGCGAAAATATTAATATTTCAACATTTGAACACAGAAGTCAAATTGGACATGTGTTTCTAACATAAAATAAGAAATGGTTATATTCAAGACTCAGAAATACTAAATTTAATATGTAAACTACCGAAGAACTAGGAATTATCCATTTACCATTTCATAATACTAATTATGGTCAAAACGAACCGATCACTAGAATGACAGGAACAGCTAACAAATATAAGAACATGATATATCTATTTGGAACATCTGTCTCATCATTCAAGGCATCACTTTTAAATGAATGACATGTATTAAATTTATTTATAGATAATCTTAAGTTTCGCATTTACATTAGGTATGTAAAATATCGATGGCTTAAGTGCAAAACGTCGTAACCCACAAAATTTCAAAAAAATCCCTTTTCGCGTCATTGGAGTCGTATGTTTTAGCTGCGTCTTGTGAAAAACTATCGTAAGCAACAGTATAAAATAAAATTAATTTTACGCGCCAAAACAAAAAGTTGCTCTTCGAAATTACATCTAAAGTCTATTTGGTTTTTTTATTCCCCTGTAAAATTTACTTTTTGGGGTTACGACGTTTTGCACTTAAGCCATCGATATGTAAAAATGGTAAATCCATAGAAAATAAATAAAATAATATTAAATATAATTGATTCCTTCTTTGACAAAATAAGCACAATTAATGAATGAAAATATTTAATATTGAAATAATTATGCATGAAATAAAAATTACTAGGTATGCCATGCTCATTCATTGAAAACATGATTTTTAATAAGTATTTAGCAAATAAAAATCTCATGATAAAAAAATATTGTAGATTCAAAACACTATACATTTTTGAAGCAATCAGCATTTTAAAAGTTATCAAATCACAATAATAAGAAAATTAATTTTAATTTTAAAATCCTTATGTTCAACCAAGAATAAAGTGGTATTATAATTAACATTGTGCAATATTACTACTTGCTTTTTGGTTCATATCTTTTTTATATTAAATGTAGTGAATAAATAATAATGAATTTTTTCCTCAATTAATTCGAATTGTAAAATATTGAAATCAACAAAAATACTTTTATTGAACATAGAATGTGAAACTACAAACAATTGCAACTATGTGGCTTAAAATATAAAAAACAGGAAATTATTTTTCCGTAACGAACTCCTTTTATTCCAAAGAAAAAATGGACTTAGTCAAAGCCAGTTGACACATTTTTACCTATATGTGCTTTTCTATTATTGAAGATAATCGCCCTTCAATCTCAAAAAATAAGGTTTGCATCATTAGACATTTTCTAATATTCAAAGCCAGGCAATATTCATCCAAACTCTTTTATGTATCAACAATTTAGTCATAAATCTGAATTTAAAATTCAATCACATTCTCAAATCATTGTCATCAAATCCATCAGCTCTTTGTTACTAGGTTTATTTTGATAGTTTGATCAGGATAAAATCAAGCAGCTTGAATTTTGAATCCTAAATATCAAGTGTTTATTTCAAGGGCTCGAAGGAGGATAGGTACAAGCAATTTCTAACCTTAATTTTATTATTTGTATCTACATAGTTTCATTTTTAAAGTTAATAATTTAAAACAATTTGGCAACCAATATTTATAAAACAAGTGTATAAGACTATATTATGGAAAAATTCATCAGCTGAATTTATGTTTAAAAAGGTAAGTGAAAAGTTAGGCACAAAAGCTGGATCTGGATTGAAAATGGATTAGGCAGTTATTTCATAAATTTGAAAAGGCTTACTTGAAGCTAATCAAACAAATTGTTTGGATTGAATTAATGATCCCAAGCAGCCTGATGGCTTAATAACTGTTTATGTCGGGGAATTACCAAACAGCCAGTTTCTATCTGGATCGAACTGTGTCAAAATAAAAATAGTATGTGTTGATGGACTGATAGATCAATTGACATAACCCTAAATTATTAGATAAGTAGATAAGAAAAATCTAATGTTGGTACAAAAAAAATCAAGCTGTTCATGTATTTTGAATTTGTTTTCTTTAGATTTCAATAAATATGGAACTACCCTTGAAGTATCTCCTTTCTAATAAAAAAAGAATCATAGAAATCATACACAGTAAAAAATCAGTGAAAATACATAAAAAAAATGAAGAGTTTGATAAATTTCTCATGAATCCCATTATTAGGTTATGACCAAATTTATATGGGACCATCCTTGAGGTATCCCCTTTCTAACAAAAAAAGAATTATAGAAATCGGACAAGGTAGTGGAGAATTAATGCTGAACATACATTAAAAAAATATCCTTAGGAATTGAAAAACTCCTTTTTTGAAGTCCGTTAAAAATCAGTAATTCTATAAGAAATTCCAACAATGAAAAATCAGGATTACATCAGTTTGCCATTAATTTATTGGTCCCATGATATATCAACAGTACATTTTGTTGAATATTAGAAAATGCATATTAAGAAATTTTTTTCATTTTTATTTGCAATGATATTTTCAGCAAAAAAATAAAAGCCCTGACAGAAGATTAAAAATAAAATCAATAAAAAAAGTATTAGTGTGGTACTACAGCAGGTCAAAATGTTTACTGTAGTCTTCTCTAACTAGGACATAGCATATGGGGTCCAGGTCCTTTCAATTCCTTAATTAGTGAACATTTTATGAATATTCTTTTAAGCACTGAGGTTTACTAAACTAAATTACTGCATATACCTATTAGTAAAAAACATGTCCGACTTTGCTACTGTTAAAAATTATAAGTAAAATTAAAAACTTACGTTGATTTGATGGTAATACAACGTTCCTGTTCATCTTTTCTAGTATCTGTAAATCTAGTTTCTCCAGCTTTGGCACCAGCAATAATACCGGCTTTAGATACAAGGGAGTCTGTGAGGGTTGATTTACCATGATCAACATGGGCAATCACAGACATGTTACGGATGTTCTTCTTTTTGTCCATCATGACCCTAATTTCGTCAACCGTAAAGTTCACCTAAAATTAAAACAAAGGCTGTATTAATTAACATTCATCTATTGAAATGCATCTTGCTGCATTACTGCAGTATGGTTACACCGAACTTACCATATTTCGAAGTATTTTTTTACAAAAAAATTGGTAAATATTTTACTTATTAATAATTGTCAAACTCTTTTATAAATCTTGTCAAATTTACTTTAAATTGTAAACAAAGAAACTTGTAAAACAAATCCGTAAACATACTAGTTTTAGGACGTTTCGTACTGTTGTGCAATACACAAAAAATTACGAATATAAAGTTATTATAAACAAAACGCAAAAAATGTTATTATTATTAAGTAATAAAGTATTTTAAAAACGATTTGGGGATGATAAAATTGGATTTATATACATACCATTTTGGATGTTTTATGATTTTCTCAAGCACAACCAAAAAATACGATACGCCAACGATGGCGCACTCCCGTAAAAGAAAGAGAAAGAATCAACGAATCTCTGCCACGCCGTAGACACAAGACAGCTGTGCAAAACTGCCAACAGTAGATAAAAAAAATAACTAATCACTTAGGCATATCTTCGAGCTCGAAAAGGCATATTTTGAAGAATTACAAACTTTTAAATGCACCTATTGCTGCGTTTGAGAATCCACATCGGATGCATCTGAGATGTAAAAAATCTTTGATCACGTGATTCAGTATACGTAAATGTAATGGGACAGATGTGTCCGATGTGGATAAAAAAACGCTCGAGATGTAAAAAATGCATCCGATGTGGATTCTCAAACGCAGCATATGCCATTATTGAATTTTTATTTATCAGGATTTGGCTTAGACTAGGTAATAAAGAGAGGACTCAGAACTGACAATCTTGTTCCATTCTGACACCAACGATATTCGACCAAAGGCGCAACATGTTGAAAATAAAAAACGAACTTGTATTTATGTTATTAGTACTTCATTGATCTTCTTAGGTATAAAACAAGTTCAAAGCTTAAAATTTAAAATAAATAAGTAACAACAAATAAGACACAAGAAAAAAATATATTGAAATAAACTGAATAAAATCGTTTACATAATAAAATGATTGTTTTTTTTTAATTACGCAAAATAAAACATAATGATCTAGGTACATATGTAGGTATTACAAAAAGATATACTTTTAGTTAATAAAGAATGACAAATTGTATTGGACGTGTTTAAGGACCGATTCCACCGCTGTCTTACCGTTTAACACAACGGTGGAATCGACCCTAAGGACCGATTCCACCGTTGTGTTAAACGGAGATTAAAATGACGTTGTTAATGTAAAAATGTCATTTTAAACTTCGTTTAACACAACGGTGGAATCAGTCCTAAGTAGTCTAATTACTTGATGGAAATTCGTTTAAAAAATAAATGAATACTTGTCTACTATATTTAATACTGTTTATTATACATTATTAAACTATTAAAACTGAAACAGAGTAAATATTATTTTACAGTGTTGGATAAAATAATTAGAAAATGACTTCAAGTACTTTGTTGCTAAGGGCCACTTGCACCGCTTGTTCTTAAAACATAAGCCAAGTTTAAATTGACATTTTTCCATTAACAATGTCATTTTAAGCTTCGCCTATTTCTTAACGACTAGCGGTGCAAATGGCCCTAAGAGAAACAATTCCCGGAAATCCTACTTTTTTCCAGTTTGTTCGATTTAAGAATTTCTTCTATGGTATTAATTTAAGCCAAAGAGTCTTTAACTAATGTTCCCGTAACATATAACTTTGTTAAATTATTGTTTTAAGGTGTTTTTCTATAAAATAAGGCATTATTAAAGTGAGGTTATGAAATTAAAAGGCAAATAAATTAAATCTTACCGTTTTTAATGATAAAGATTACTGGTTCCGGTATATACCACAGTTCCAATAATTGCAAATAAATAATATAAAAAGACAATATATAAAAACACACAACTACGAATAAGTAATGACAATGTCCACAGACTGACGTTAAAAATATTATACAATGGCTGTCCAGAGAAGAAGGCAGCTAGAAAGAAGAACACGACTCGATACGCGCGCGCGAGACTTCAATCAGCCAATGACAATGACGAATAACGATCATATATATGCTGATGCAGGCAGCGCCAAGACGGTGTCGTGGCACCATATTTAAATATAGCGAAAGTAAGACATAAATATGAAGACTAGAGAGAAGGAGGCGAATCGGCAATGGTCAAATAGACCTTTTCATCACATTTTTGTTGTGTGCATGTGTCAATATCGGCCATCTTTTCGTACTGTTTTTGTTAACAAAAAAAATTATAATCAATAAATATTAATTTAGGTATAGTCATTTAAAAAAAGCAAGAAAAAGTAAAGTAATAATAAGTTTAGTGTCTTAATTGAAAAATACATTTTTTCAATCAATTATAATTATGTTATTTGTACGGAAACGAAACTGTGTTGTTACGGAGTACGTAAAAGTGACACACAGTATAAATCATTCAAAGGCAATACATATTATTTTATAATTGTTCCAAAGCCTTGGCTGCAACATCGTAAAAAAATATCAAATTATCAGAGGCCAATAATCCATATTAAAACATGTTCAAAAAGCGCAAAATGTGCATTAGGTGTAAAAAAATGTGGTCGAAGTGACAACGGTTTTCGATGTATTGATGATGTTACTAAAGATACTTATATTTGTTTAATACATTTTCATGGAGAAAATGGTCCAACAGAAGAAAATTCTTATCTGGTATTACACAATATTTTTTTAATATTAAATATTCGGTATACACAGTAGTATGATTTAAAATGTCATATTGATCCTCAAAATATTAAATCATTTATTTTATTAATTATACTCGTGATTAACTATCATGTTAAAGTGTTTTTGCAAGTACTAAAAGTTGGTTGGCATAATTAATTAGTATGGAGTTATAATTATTATTTGTTTTCATTAATTTTTTACACAGTTAAGCAGTATTGATACACCTACCCTCTCAATCAGTCCCCTTTTTTCGTTTGTAGCAAACATCCAAGACACTTCAACCACCTTTTCAACTGCTCACAACTATGCGCTTCCTCAGAGTTATAAAAAAGTTATTCACCATCTACGATTTTTTCTAATGATTAATTTTTTTGTAGAGATAATATTGCTTTTCCAGCCATTGTCGATCAAAACAGTACGAAACTTTTGAATTACCGCTATTTCAATATTGTGGTTGCGCTTGCGCTCGTGACATGATGTAGGTAAAGGTCTATTGTTAGACAATTCTTTTAAACCATAATCATAGTAGTTTTTCTGTCGTTTCTATAACAACCTGTAAAAATGAATCACAACAATAGGCATACAAATAAATTTTTAAATCAGCAAAACTTTATTCATATTTTTAATAATTTTTACTTGAATATATGTTTTTGTGCGATATTAAGAGGAAGAAACTGTTTTCTTTTAACGATATATATCAAGATATATTTGAATATGTTATTTTCTGGAAAACTCTAAGGGCACACAAAATTAGCGATGTCATGCTTTATGTACGCCTATGGCCGGTATCGAATAGCAGTTAAATTTTGAGCTCCCGAAATAAATACAGTTAAAGCAAGAATTACATCTAATAAAATAATAAAAACGTGATACAGTTCTTATAGTGTTGTTTTGCAATAAGTTAGTGTAAAAAAAATAACTGAATCATGGTATTAACAAGAGAAACCCGCGAAGAAATTGAATTAGCGGTAAGCAAGGCTATTAAAAATGATTTGCTTATCCTTATCAGTCAAATTGCAAAAAAAGTAACAGAAGCAATAATACAAACAATGGAAAATAAGCTGCTAAATATCGAAACTTCAGTGGCGGAACTAAAAGAGGATTATGGTAAAATGAATACAAAAATTGAAGATAAAACGAAATATTTACAAAATAAAATAAATATACTTAGTGGTGAGAGAGACGAAATGGAGTCTAAAATTGATCAAATGGACCAAGCTACTAGATCTTCTAACTTAAGGGTTTTCAGTATGAAAGAGACCTCCAAAGAAGATACCAGAAAAGTCCTAATAGAAACTTTAAATAAAAATATGTCTCTAAATCTCATCGAAAGTGATATTCTATTGTGCTACAGAATTGGGAAAAGTGAACAAAAGAAAAGTAGAGGTGTTTTTTTAAAATTAAAAGATCTGGAAACTAAAAAAATGATATATAGCAAGAAAAAACTACTAAAGGGCACAGGAATCGTCATAAGAGAGGACCTTACTAGCTTACGAGTGAATTTGTTAAACGAGGCCATCAGAATACAAGGGTTAAAAAATGTATGGACAGAACATGGCAAAATCTACGTAAACAAGGACAGTAAAGTATATATTATAAGGAACAGAAATGATTTTAATACTGTATTTACAGCTGAATGAATATTTACTATTAAACTAAAACCAAAATAAAAAAAAAATAAAAAAAAAATTCCTTTGCACCATCTTGCTTAAAAGCTTAAAATTAAATTAATTCTAAATATATTCTTTGATTCTTTGTATTCTTTTTTCTGAAATTTATTTATCATCAATATTTCGTTATTTCCTATTTTAAGTAAAAAAAAAAAAAATAAATGAACATGTAATTTCTAAAAAATATTTAGGGTGCTCAATAGTTACATGATATGATAGAATTTTTGAACGTTTTAGACGATGAAGAGATTCAGACGGAATGCGTTAATAATTTTGAAGACTTTATACAGGGAAGGGTAGACAAAAACAGATATGGACTGGGAGTTGTTCACTTTAATATTAGAAGCTTACAAAAACATTTTAATGAGCTACTGGTATATGTTGAAATGGCTAAAGATATACTTGATGTAATTATATTATCAGAAACAGGTAAAATAAAAAATATTCATGATTTTTCTATTCCTCAGTTTTCAATTCACTACAATGAGGCAATATTTAACAAATGCGACGGTTCCATAATTTATGTAAGAAATAATATATCAGTGAATGTTAATATCGTACCTGTAAATGAAACCAAATTTCTTAGAGCTATTTTAACTTCTAGTAATTTGCCAAAAAATTGTAAAATTGGGCTTACCGCCTTCTATAGACTTCCGGCAACCGACTTAAATATGTACTTAGATAATTTAGAAATATACCTAAATTCTATAGAATATCAAAATCTAGAAATATATGTAGGTGATATAAACATCGATATACTAAAAAAAGAAACTAACGAAACAAACAAATATTTAAATATAATGAATTTCAAAGGTTTTAAATCATATATAAATAAACCAACGAGAGTACAAAATGAGTCAAAAACTGCCATTGATCATATTTTTATTAGAACTCATAAAAACCTAATAAAAAACGTCGAACTTGAGCCAATTATATTTCACACAGATATGACAGATCACTATTCTCCTTTTATACTAATATCTTTTCCTACACAAAAAAATGAGGAACCCCAATCAATAAACAAAGTGACCATAATAAATTTTGATAATCTAAAACATTGTTTAAGCAGAGAAAATTGGAATGATGTAATTAATACGGCTGAACCACAAA